CAATTGGTGTCCCAAACATTTTGAGTTTTTTTCCATGCGGCTCTCTCAGATCATTATTTTTCATTTCTGTACAATGCTATTCGCTCCTGAACTTCCTGGGCCATTATTCTCCTATAAGACTTCCATTATTCTTATAAGAAAGGAAAGAAATGTCTGGGCAGAAATTCGATGGCATTATCGCGGGGTCGTAATGAACTGGGCTGCCAGGTGGAGGAATCATCGGTCTAAATTGCCAGTCAAAAATATAAAAAATTCTTTCAGATCTTTAAATTAGAATATAGAAATCACAAATCTCTTCCTGCTGAATTCTGAAATTGCATCAGGTACACCAGGTACAGCAGGGTGGCCCAGTGGTTACAGTTCAGGAGTACCAGGATTGGCGCAGAGAGGCGCGGGTGCGATCCCAGCTCTGTGCGCCAGTTTCTGGTCAGAATCGGCAAGGAGGCTGGGCGGTTAAGCTAAGCACAATTGGAGCAGTGAGTTGCGTGTTCGAGACCGCAATAAGCTGTGAATATTCTGCGATGTTAAGAATTGGCGACAGGCCTACGGCCTGCCTAATAAACGCTGAAACCGCTATTATTATATTTTTATTATCAATCCCTCGCTATATCCCGATTAACTTAACGCCGCTTCAAGTCATCGCGGGTTGTAAATAAATATTAATGAGAAAATAATTCATGGTTCTTCGCTGGTTCACAGGTTTCTAAGGAAGTCGATCGGCAGATTTTACCAGCCAGTTGAACTCGATCCGCAGTAAGAGTGTGGGAAGTGTGTCCCGTGTGGAACACGAGATTGCTGTTATCAGAGGAAGTTCTACGTACCTTGCTGGTGGCAACATCCGTTTTACGTTTTTGTCGGGAGATTTTACGGAGTAAGGCTAGCAATAGTAACTATTTGACGCTGAACTAGCGCCGAAGTAACTTTGCCGCTTGGTCTGGTTTCCGGCAGTCATCACCGAAGCTGCTGAGATGAAGATTTAAGCGCTCTAATAATTTTAAGGAAGCAGATGACAGGAATCGTTCCTGCCACCCAAACTAAAAGTGGGCGTGTTGTTAGCCATATTCACACACTGCCTGGTCATAAGCTCCGACAGTACGCGACTTGAGAATTATCTTTGCAGGCTCTATGTAACCGACGACTAGTGTCAGAAGCGTTGAAGAAAGAATTGGGCCAACACACCTCTATTGGTGCACTGCAAATCAAGAGTTGTGGGGTAATAAGGTAATGAACTATGTGGTAAATATATTTAGACGTGGATTCCTATCCCATCCCGATTGCCATTAAAATTTGGTCTCAGATGGCATGAAGTATGTGTGAGTGGTCGTGTAACTGTTTTCAATACAAATTAGCGTGAAAAAAATTGTTTTTTATTGCAACCAGGACAGTTAAGATAGGACGGATTTATACGTATTGTGATAACTATAGGTGTTTGTACACGGGGAATGTTTTTAGCCCATTTTAGCATCATAGCGAACACTGGGAATGTTTTTATCCCATTTTAGCACCATAGCGAACCCGGTGGAAGTCTAGTAGCTATTTTAGACTATTGTCAGTTTGGAAAAGATACGGTCGGAGGACCTGTTTTTAGATTTCCTCTGAACAAGTCACGAAACTTACAAGAATCGGCGACAGGCCACATGGGGCCTATTCTTCAGCGCCGACATCATGATATGATAATATCAGCGGATAATTATTTTAGATTTAGAACTACCGTCTCCAGTGGCGAGTAGCCAGGAGTGGGCACTTTAATTCAGAAAGCTTTAAGTACTCAGCTATATATACATAGTAGAGCTAAAGCCATTTTACCTGGACTGGTCCAGGGCAGCGATCATACTCAGTTTTTACTACAGAAAAAGACTACGACCACAATCACCATCACCACCACTAAGGATTAAGTCTGCTTACATCACCTCATCAAGCGAGCTGTGTCGAAGAGTGGGCTACCTAGCTGACAGTTCTCTCGAAGAAACCCGTTCCCCGGGAAAATAACCTGCAATAATCACGCATAGCATTCTCCTCTACGCGGATGGAACACAGAAAGTCACACTTCCCGCTGTGGCAGTCAGTTCCCCCACATCGGCCGGGATGTCCGTGGTGGTCATAAGACTATTGAGGCGGTACATGCGAGGAGGTTAGCACGCAACTATTTTACTGTCACCCAACTCCTTCAAACAAGACAGCTTACCCTTACACCTTTAAGACACAAGAGGCGAAAACAATAATTGAGGCTGCAAAAAAATTAGTCATTGTCAAAGTTTTTTAACCTTATAAACCCTCAGACCCCTCGTTCCACGTTCTTGATGCTTCGGACGGTGCCCGGCATAATCCCCTCTGCAGCTATTCCACTCACAACGGACACTACGCTCGGCTCTCCTAAAATTAACTTCTTTAGCCTTGGCAACAAACTATACACTTGCGCACACTAGCAAGATTACGGTGGAAATGGATAATGCAATCACCATGGCTCCTGTGTGCGAGGACGAAACTTCATAACATTGTCGGCCCACACATGAGAATCTCACAAGGGTCATGCGCTAACTGAAAACTCGCTCAACATCAAGGTCCAACCTAATGCACAACGCATTTCTTTTCCATCTGCCCCGAAATCCTTATACAGCCCTCCATCACCTCGCCAAACAGTCATTCCGACTTGCAGTAGTGTCCTGCGAGTAGAAGACTACTTGTCATCCCAATTCCCAAGCCTCAGAAGAATCAGGCCAGCTTTCCGCTAATCGGTCAATCAGTTTTTTTTATGCATGCATGGAAGATAATGGAGAGGCTCATATCTGACAGCTATCTTGACACCTAGAATCCAAACGGCATTTCTTGCCTCATCTGTTTGGATTTTGGCGTCGCCTTTAAACAAAAGGAGCGCTAGCGCCGCTTGAGCACGAGTTCTAGACAGCCCTGCGTATCAGGCAGGTTCTTATAGTAGTTAACTTTGATCTTATTGGTATAACGGTATCTGCGTTAAATAGGTCGTTAGACTTGTCGATAATTCTGTCCATCGCAGAATATTCACAGCTTGCTGCCGGTCTCAAACACGCAACTAACTGCTTCAATTTTGCGTTGCTTAATCGCTCGGCAACCTGGTCTATTTGACCAGAACTATCGTCGGTAGCTGGGATCGAACCCACAGCCCATTGCTTCAATTCCACTGCTCACTGTCGCAGTCCACGCTGAATATAAGTTATTTCTGTGTATTAATTGCGCGATGCTCATCCTCCTTGAATCGCACCAAGTCCAGAGCACCGCAGGTCTTCCTTTTATCCCCACTGCTTTTCCACGTGCTCATCAATGACATACCATCTCTACCGAATATCAACACTGCTGATATCACTATGTATGTGGTGGCAGACGAAGTTGATGCAGCGGGAAACCAGACTGCACAAAGCCTTTGACTCGTTTGTCACTTGGTTGGAATCAAGGTCTATATGTATATGTGAATCCGGCCAAGTAGGCATTCCAACTATTCACACGTAAACGTTATATTCATCCCATCCCTATACATGTCGGGCATCAGATGACTGGTATCCAAAAACTCAATCTTCCAATTTTCCTTTATTGATATGATATCAATAAAAAAAATCTGTGGTTGCTTCCTGTTTTTAACGTTCAAACGCCTCAGAACCGCCGTCCGGGCCCTGCTCTGGTTCTCCGATCATCACCTGGAAGGCCCGCATTAACTACCTTCTGACCGAATGCCTAAAGCGCTGAAAATCCCGAAGGTTCTGAAGACTCCCCAATTTTTGGGGTTCGATCGACGCCCAATTTGGTTCCTATCAGGCCTGAAAACAGGCAATGGGCTCTCAATGTAGCTACTGCTAAGCATCACCAACACCTCTCAACGTAATTCACTCCGTGGCAGACCGTTTGATCATTGGATCGTTGAAATCTGCACCCCTGCTACCACTTATACTGTGAAACTGGATTGCTCCCACCAGAAATACTCTGGAACCGAAGCACATCCTTGTTCTACCTCTAGCTTTTGCATCGCCTTTCAGCTAATCCAGTGCACCTCCTCTAACGCCGGGACTGATATACAGTAAAGATGAGACCGAAGGCCTACCGACAACCCAGCAATACTCAACAAACCTTACTGTCCGAGTCTTGAGCCCACATTGCTCCATTTCGCACCTTGCCACAAAAGCTTATCTTTAGCTCATGTTCCCTGGACATTCTCACTCGCTACTAACAAACCCTGCCGATCCATTGACCTCTATCACCCTACTGATTCACTTTGATTTCTCCAGCACTCTCTTTTGGGAAGAAAATGAGCAGCATCGGCGATCTTCAACGACAACTGTGTCAATCGATTCTAAGGGTATTGCCTCATATTCACTGATGGCTCCCTCTCAGCTGGGCCACCCCAATTTGTGGGTACTGGGCTGGCAATCCCGTCTTTATTTCCCTGCAAATGATAGCGCTTAAATCCCTGCCATAAACACAGACTTATCATTCAAATTCTCCGAGGCCCAAGTCTATTCTATTACACATTATGGAGCTTGAAATTCTATGCAAGATAAATGGGCACCAGTCCGTGGCCAGTTCGCCCTGGGGGCAATGAATCTAGCTGTTGGACCTTGGGCATCAGCGGCTGCAAATTCGTACATTTGAAACTCTCTTTGCACAATTTCGTCTTTCTTTACAAAGCCCTTCACCAAATCCGACAACCTTTTTGCGGCCTCACCATCATGCCTTGCATGCTAAGACCCAGACACATCACTACCTCATCTCTTCACCAGAGTATAAGGAAATACACTCTCAGCTGCGTCGCCGAACAAACTTTAAACTTACACGGAGCTCTTGCGCTCACCGCTCAGTCCTGCTGGTACATATTGGGGAAGAGGTACTGCCAAGTGCCTACTGCCCCCTTTTGCCTCATTATTTTGCCCTCGAAACTTCATAACTGTTGAAAACTTATTCAGTGTAAACCAGCTCTTTCAACCCTAAGTTATAACAAATAACAGTTTGTTGCGTCAACTTGCGACTTCTTTATAACTCGTCAAGTCGCCAACAATCAACAACAACAGTTCGCTGACTGAATCTCCCGAGGCGCAGCGCGCTGTCAACCCACTGAAGAACAACAACAAAGAAGCAAAATCTGTCGGTGGCACGCCGCTTCAGTTTTTTTGAACAACAAACGTGATCCTGTTCAATTATTTTGTTCTCAGTAGCTCGTAGAAGCGAAATTTCTGGTAGCACATAAAAAAAACTGCTTTTATAATGGGGGGTGCAATCATTGAAAACTTGAGTGGACGGAAATTGAGTGTTCTCATAGCCCTATTGATGATTTGTCAGTTATGCTGCTTCTTGTTGGGAGGCCTTATTGGTGAGTATTAATTTAAAATATTGGGCAATTATACCAAAATCAATGAAAAGAGTACTGTGCAACATCATCCAGTACTGTGCAACATCATCCAGTTACCAGTAGTTACTGTGCTTGCTGACTATCAGTCATTCAGTGTGACTGTTAGTCGGACTGTTGGTGTGAGACTGTGAGACAATACCTAAGTAGGCATGTTCATTATTATTTTTTATTCCTTTTGTGGGCACCTGCTTGTTGCTCATTTGCTGCAATCTGCAATTCCCAATTAAAATTAATTAATTATCATACTAAGATGATTAAGAATTATCTTATTTTTAGGCCTTTTTTGCTTGTAAATTTTAGAATACTGGCTCAAATGTTTAATAGTATAATTTTTTAAATTTTGTTAAAAGGAAAATTAGGCAAAGGCCATTAAAGCAGTTGAAATTAACTGCATGCAATGATACATATGTACTTTCATTGTATTTATTGGTGGCTTATTCCCAATTTTCAGAATGGCTCATAGGATGATAGGACTCGCCCGACTCAAAGATAAGACCAAAACAAAATCAACCTAATTGATTAGGTCAAAATTAACCTAATCTAGAATATTGGGCGAAATTTTCTGAAAATTGCAAGTAAATAATATACGTTTAAAAATTACTTTTTAAAGTCAACACTTCCAAAGAATCCAGTGTCTCCAATCTTAAAGATGTACCATGAATTTCTCATTTAATTTCCAAATATTAAAAAAAATATTTTTCAATTTTTTAATATATAATTTTTTTTAATTTATAAAATTTGTTTTCAAAATTATTTATTCTATTAATTGATTCGTGCATTGCCTCTGAGGCTCTGACATCACACAAGTGTGCAAAATTTCAGAACAATTAGACAGGTAAAAGTGTGTCCAATATGATCAGTTATAAGATTTGTAGCTGACAAAATTATTTTTTCAATTTTTACTATTGAAAAAAAATTTTTTTAGTACTTTTTAAAATCATTTATTTTGACATTTGATTCATGCATTGTCTCCAACTTTAAACAAGTATGCAAAATTTCAGATCGATAGAATAAGTAGAAGTGTGTTAAATTTTGATTACAAGATTTGTAGCAGACAGACAGACAGACAGACAAACAAGAAGTGAAGTTAAAGAGAAGTGTTGTAAAAATATTAATTTACTGGTAGTTTTCTGATCATCTTGGTAAAATTGCTCTGTTTCTCTCATTTCTTTGACATCCATGATCCATCATCCATCAATGTTATAACTATGGCAAAAATTGCCTGCTTGGCATGCTTCTCTTTCATACTAGGGAAAAAATATCCAGTTGCAGTTGAAAATGATCACTTGATGAATTAGCTAACTAGGTACTTAATGAATGTATAAATGAACCAATGAATTTGAGGCTAATCAGATGGCAATCATTTAAATTTCAGGAACTGGAATTGTACAATACTAGTAGTATATATAAACTCTTATTAGGAACAGCTAAGCATTCAAGCATTGTGCAGTCTTAATGTTAATGTTCATCATAATGCATCATTTCTTCTTGAATATGTTAAGTGAGGCACAACCAACTGGTGGATTGCAGGGTTTTTTCCAGACTAATTCTGCAATTTAGTTTCTTTCTATTGCATTTGTAGACAGAAATTTATGATGGCAGTACAACCTCAATAAATTTGAAAATGTATTTAAAAAAATAAAATTTAATCTTTACTGCAGAACCTACAAATTTACTAGGATATCTTCAATTAAATGCCGTTTTATCTGCAGACTTGGCTGCTTTTAGACCATCTCCCAGAGCTGGTGTGTCGTGCTGCACTTAACGTAATAATCTTGTTTTCCTTCATTGTCAGCTTCCAGTTTTTGTCATACTTCCATCACAACTAAAACACTTGTATAAACACATTCTTTCTTCATTGGTACTCAGTGCCTCTCTTGTACTCAGTCCTGGAGTGGATACTGGATAGTATATTATACAGATAATATCAAAGAAGTTTCTCTATTGAAAGAAACTTGAAGTGGGCCATGAAATGCATTTTTAATATATACTATCTATTATATATATGATGTGGAGACCCCAGCCTTGTTGCTACTTACTAAGTACTCTGAAACTGTTTTTTTTTTCAGCACCTGCCCCTACATCAGCTTCTACTGTCCTTGGCACCAAGTGTTATGATAGAAATTACAACAGCAGCAAATGGTATCAGTCTCGGCCTGTGAAACAAATGTGCCACTCTTTTGATTCCTTGGATGAATTGGAGAGTGGAATAACTGCAGATGATATCATCTTTGTCTTTCAGGTCAGTGAGAATGCATTCTTGTACCATGGGAGATAAATTTTGGGCATGCTTTAGTTTTGGGAGTGGTTCAGATCATAAATCCAAATTATTTCACATTGCATTATATATAATGTATCTGCATTTATAATGGTTTTCACTGTATTGTGGCTTTAGCATAGTTTTTAACCTTCATTTCCAGAGTATGTGCATTCCTTTTGCAAACATTATTAAAATGTCTTGGAATGGAGATTGAATGACTTTTGGAAGGAATCCTGTGAACAATGATGTGGTCTCTTAAATACATCCCATTTGCAGCTAGTATGTTGAATAGTTTAGGGAAATTCTGCAAGATGTTCAAGCTCTTTAATGTCCCTTGAGTTGATTGTTCTCTCTTTAATTTTTTCGGCTCCAGGTCCCTATTCCTAGAGAAAAAACAATCTTGGATTTCTCAAGATGGCAGCAGAATCTTATTGGCACTCTTATCCCAGAGGTCTTTTATGATGAAAATGATACTGGCAAGCAACCTTCTTCACAGCATGGTAGGAATACCTAGAAAAGTGCTTGCAAGTAATTTCCTGACAGTGTAAATGAGGTTTCCAATTAGGTACCTATGTGAAAAATTATGAAAAATTATTACTCAAGTTATTTATTATGTATAATGCTTGGTCTCAGTTTCTTGTGGGGGTTGTTTAAATTTGACTAGAAATCAAGTAAAAGTATTATTTATAACTCCTACTATTCTATGGTTATTTGTTTCTAGTTATTTGCTAGGTTTTAATTCACTGTCTTTCATTTGCATTCTAAATTGATGTTAGTCTAGAGGATGGATGATAAATATCTGAGAGTTAAAAATATATTTGGTCTTTGTACTTAATCCAAGTCTCAAATCAGTTGTGCAAGAAATGATTTCCAAGTCTCTAATTCAATGACACAAAACCATATTTTGTGCATAATTTTTTTGCTGATAAGAATTTGATTAATTGATTATTATAATGTTTAGTGTTCATTTTGCTATCATTATAAACTTGCAGTTATTGTTACAATATCAGTTATGGTACTGTTGGAAGTGAGTAAAAACAAGATATGTATACTGTGCAATCCCCAAAGTTTTAATCTAACATTCCAACAGACATTGAGACTCAGTTGACAGTGGATGCTCGTCTTGCCTACCAAAATAAGGGAGATCCTGATGATAAGTGGACACCTCTTGCCAGCTCGGTGGAGGAACGAAAACTGGAATGTTCCATTCTGGCGGTAACTACTCAATCACATTAAATCTTGCTCGCCACAATGCATCAGCAGGCAAACTATTACTCTCATGATAACCTGCAGACTGCCCTCACATCGTATACCGAGATGCTCTAGCTACGTGTGTGTGGATTACTCCTCCTAGAGTTGGAACTAGGGTAGGGAGGGTTGATATAGATCACTTCTTCTGGGCACTAACATAACTTGAGGTTATTCCATGACCAATACTAGCTCACTGACCCAGCACAAACCTTTTGCATTACACAACACCAGGTATGTATGTGGTACTCATCTATCAGCCAGAATTGGACAAATGGCTGAGTTGGCCATAAGCTCAGCTTCTCGACGTAACTTGTTCAAGTTAGACTTGAACCTGCATTGCTGGGCATGAGAGTTCACCACACCACACAGCTCCTATGCTGTAGCATGTTACCAGTGCTTCCCATTGCAAGGCTACCTATATCATGATGAGTGCATTCAGAAAAACGTATATTATTCCTTATTTCCATGCAATATCCAGAAAAATTCTCCAAGTACTGGTGGACAGATATGACTAGTTGAGAATTCACCCCTCAATAATGCCAGAGATACTTTTGATAGTTTTGCATCAGAAGCTATATTATAATGGATGTGTGTCTAGCAAATGATTATCTGTGGAACATTATTGTGAGTTGCCTCCTGTCTGAAAAAAAACCTTCAGGCATCTTAACTAGCCATATTTGGTTCATGGGTTAGCAATTGTTTGCTTGGCTTATCCAAAAAATTTTCAACGTTATTATATTTAGGTTTGAGATTCTGTCACTGCTTTTAGATAAAGATTTGATTTAATCAATAAGGTGGATAGTTCTACCATGTTGATATTTGCCCTTGCTGTTGTTTGCAAAAATCTTAATAAAGGAATAATTATGTGTGTTTCTGGCAGGAACACAGGAAGCCTGGATACCAGTACAGCTGCTCGCTGATCCCCCTGTTTGAGCTGGGCTCTCTACATCACGACTTCTACCTCCTGAACCTGCGCCTCCCTAACAAACTTGCTGGCAAGGAAGTAAACAGAGGACTTTCTAGACTGGAGAACCTCATGGTTGCAGTGAGTATTTCCTGCTATTTTGCTATCTCTTAATATACTTCTTCTAAAAAGTATTCATCTTTCTTTAATGAGCATTCTAATTTTATATGGTAAAAGTGACCTCTATGAACATTATTATAAGAATTGAACTGTATTAGCTATCTTTTCTAGTATTAGAAACATAACATTTATTCTTCATTCTACTGATTAATATCTCTTCCACTTTTTCTGTCAGTTTTTCAATTTAAGTTGACAGCACAAATTAGTTTCTTGCAACCACAAAATAAGGAAGCCAATCGCCTCCATTGACACCCTTTACAGTTCATCAACCAGAACGGAGGGTTAACCAAGGTGTGTGCTGTGATAGTGAGGCACTGGGAGGCACTGTTGTATACACTCATCATAATTAATTAGCTGTTGTGTACACGCATGTGTTGTGAAATTAGTTTCTTGCAACCACAAAAAAGGAAGCCACCCACATTCATTGAGACCCTTTACAGTTCATCAACCAGAACGGAGGGTTAACCAAGGTGTGTGCTGTGATAGTGAGGCACTGGGAGGCACTGTTGTATACACTCATCATAATTAATTAGCTGTTGTGTACACGCATGTGTTGTGAAATTAGTTTCTTGCAACCACAAAAAAGGAAGCCACCCACCTTCATTGACACCCTTTACAGTTCATCAACCAGAACGGAGGGTTCACCAAGGTTTGGGTGTCCCTCAAGACCGTCTTCTTCCCTCTGGTCGTCGTCGCCCTCGTGTGGTTCTGGCGCAGGATTTGCCTCCTGGCGCGACCCCCAGCGCTGCTCGAGTGCTGCATCCTTGAGCTCGGCGCTGCCCTCACGCTCCTCAACTGTGAGCCATACTCTACCTAACCATTTCACCTCATAGCCATTTCACCTCCCAACCATTTCACTTCATAACCATTTCACCTCCCAACCATTTCACCTCCCAACCATTTCACCTCCCAACCATTTCACCTCCCAACCATTTCACCTCCCAACCATTTCACCACCCAACCATTTCACCTCCCAACCATTTCACCTCACAACCATTTCACCTCACAACCATTTCACCTCACAACCATTTCACCTCACAACCATTTCACCTCCCAACCATTTAACCTCCCAACCATTTCACCTCGCAAGCATTTCACCTCTAGCATGGAACTTGCCTCGCGCTGCTCTGCTATGAGCTATTCTTTCCTTAACCATTTCAGCTCACTGATTCTAGCCTCTCTACCATGCCTCACTCTATCGGCATAGTGGCTATCAAATGACATCTTTAAAGTATGCTGAATCATTAAGCAATAGTCATTTATGACACATGTGAACCCTCTTACGCATTATGAACATTTGTTGTGTGCACGTGAAAACTCTTATATTGAGCTTCTTTATCTCAGAGATATTTAATTTTGGCAAGAATGTGTGATACTAGACATACAGTTGATAGAGCTTAATCAATTCCCACACCTGCAACGCTAGAAATTCATAGTGATGACCACACGGCGGTACTGCGCTATGTTGCTGATGAATAAATACGATTGCAGTGCCGCTGGAATACCTGACGCTGCTGGTGGACTGCCCCTGGATGACGGTGCTGGGGGACATCAGGCAAGGGGTCTTCTACGCCTCACTCCTGTCCTTCTGGCTCATCTTTGCTGGCGAGCATCTCATGGTCAGAATTTCTGTTTGACATTATTATACTTGGCGAATGTGCTTTTATCTATTGATGAGAAGTAAATTGTCTCGATTTTCAACTTCATATGATGAGTTTACTTCTAATTGATGGAACTTTGTACATTTTGAAGTCATTTTCTTATATCAGTCCATAAATTACACTTTTTTGGCTTGACAAAAAAGATTTGTTCATAATTTTCTCCAACATTTATGACCTTCAAGACTTGAATGTAACTAATTATTGAAAGATAGGCTGCTCATTTGTATCATTTTTTTCATGCAACCTCTTCAGTTTGAGGTAAGTTGAATATATCGTGCATTGTTTTTAACTCATTTCGAAGCCCAGCCTGAATTTAAATCTTAACGACTTCAACGGTGCGACTAGGCCCGGTTGATCCTTGGGGTCGTGTTCCGCTGCTGTCTGACCATGAATATTGTCATTATCTCTAGGTTTAAGAAGGTGCTACTCTAACAAGATAGCTTCATCCCACGAATTGATAAGAAACAAGCTGCAAGTGACAAGAATTACATGATTTCTGTGCTGATTATATAGTGCTCTCTTATTTTATGTTGTTAACAGTGCATGACTTCAGCACATGACACACAGTGCATGACTGCACACACAGTGCATGACATCTCACACAGTGCATGACATCTCACACAGTGCATGCCTTCACACACAGTGCATGACATCTCACACAGTGCATGCCTTCACACACAGTGCATGACATCATACACATCACCCTCAATAACATAACATCACCAAGAATAACATAACATCACCCGCAATAACATCACTCATGATAAACATCACTTCTCACCCCTCACTGCCATGATCAGGATGAAGTTGAGCGCAACCGTCTTCGCGCCTACTGGCGCCACCTCTCTGCCGTGCTTGGCGGCTGCGTGTGTCTCTTCATCTTTGACATGTGCGAGCGTGGCGTGCAGCTCACCAACCCCTTCTACTCCATCTGGGTCACCGATATTGGCACGAACTTGGCGCTGGCCTTCATCATCCTTGCTGGCATCTGTGCTGGGCTGTACTTCTGCTTCCTCAGCTACATGATCTGGAAGGTGGGCAGTTGGACACAATGTGTTATGTTACGTGTTTCCTCAGCTACATGATCTGGAAGGTGGGCAGTTGGTCAGTTGGACACAATGTGTTATGTTACGTGTTTCCTCTGCTATATGATTTGGAAGGTGGGCAGTTGGACACAATGTGTTATGTTACGTGTTTCCTCAGCTACATGATTTGGAAGGTGGGCAGTTGGGCACAATGTGTTATGTTTAGTGTCCTGGTCTCCTCTTCAATATATTCACTTGATCAGCTATGTTATTTTGCTGCAAGCTGGCAAACGCAATGTTCCACAATAACATGAAAATGCCCCAAATATATTTGAAAGCACGCTACAATCGCCCTTTTTGTATGCTTAATTCGATTCACAATTATTACTGATTTAACGGGAGGTTGATCACTTGTGTGCTTGTGTGATCACTTGCACTAATAACACAATTGATACCTGTATTTAATTCATGTGGTTTGAGGAAATTCTCGTGCACAATGTGGCTGTTGATGCACGGCATTTGTCAAGACACTGATTGTTGTTGCAGGCGTTTGTCAAGACACTGATTGTTGTTGCAGGTGTTTGTGAAGACACTGATTGTTGTTGCAGGCGTTTGTAGACACTGATTGTTGTTGCAGGTGTTTGTGAAGACACTGATTGTTGATGCACGGTGTTTGTCAAGACACTGATTGTTGTTGCAGGTGTTTGTGAACATCAGCGCCAAACGCAACTCGCTGACGGCGATGTCGAGCAACCGCCGCCTGAAGTATCAAGGCATCATCTACCGCTTCAAGGCCCTCATGCTGGCTACGCTGCTCTGCGCCGCCATGACCGTCATCGGCTTCATCCTGGGACAGGTGACTGGTGGTGCTGGACCAGATGGTCGTGGGACTAGGAGCTTTGGGCCAGGTGGTTGTGGGAGTAGGAGTGTTGGGCCAAGAGACTGGTGACTGAACTAGGACTCATTGGGTGATGGTGGGACTAGGGGCTTTGGGCCAGGTGATAGTGGGACTAAGGGTGCTGGGCCAGGTGACTGGTGACTGAACTAGGACTCACTAGGTGATGGTGGAACTTGGGGCTCTGAGCCAGGCGGTTGTTAGGGTGTAAATAGGCGCTTACTGTCTGATCTGTTATTCTTTACAGTCCCATCTTTTGAGACCGGTACTCAAGGACACGTTTCAAATAGTGTGTCCAATCACGTTTACAGTTGCCACTTTAATTTGGTCTTAATTGCTACGTAGAACTTGTTATTATTATAAATATCTTGTTTTACAACTCTCGGCCGATTTCTGCCTCTTTTAGTATTCTCCAATTTCTTATGCATATGAATCATATGCAGAATGAAAATGTGATGCTGATAGGTTTGTTATTTTTCCAGTCTATTTGGGAACATATATACCTACTCATTTTCTACTTTGATTTTTTTCTTGAGATCTTTGAAAATATTCGTGACGTATAGGTAATGACAAATGGTGGTATCGATCAGAGCACATCTTGACAGAAGCCCAGTCATATTTTAACGCAGTGTTAAAAGGTTAAGGGCTTTAGATTAATTAACACGTGCATTCGCGTTTGACGCAAGGACTAATTTAAATTTTAATTGAAAACAATTTTTAACTTGAGGATCATCTGGTTTAAGTTAGATGAGAAAATTTCCCAATTTAGATACCTGCTTGTAATGGGGCATCAACAATTTCGCCACAAATTTTTGACAAGTTTAATGTACTTGAATGGCAAAATATCTAACCGGCCCGACCCGCTCATTCATATTTTCCAATTTACGGCTTGTAAACAGTCAATTTTGCACGTCTAGCAGTTCGTAACGGAATGTTCAATATCAATTTGAATGTGTCAATGTGTGCAGGTGTCAGAAGGCCGCTGGAAGTGGGATGAGGATATCTCGCTGGAGTACACGAGCGCCTTCTTCACCGGCGTCTATGGCATGTGGAACGTCTACACGCTGGCTCTCCTCTGCCTCTACGCGCCCTCTCATAAGAAATGGCCTCGTGAGGAGAGTACGTTCTTGCTCTCTGGCAGCTCTGATTAATATATGAGAGAACTGAATTTGATATATAGCTTTAGCTTTCATGTATAGCATTGTAATTAATGCTGCGAGGATTGATTGGTTTGCAATACGAACCTCTGCATGGCTTCTGGGGATCAGGTAAACTTCTATCGTAAGGTTAAGTTCTGTTTTTAGGAGACTTGAGTTATCATTGCGTTGTGAGGGCTACGGCGCTATGTAAGACGAATAATGTAAGTTTTGAAGTTTACTTTGCAATGAATTTCATGAAACGCCTCCGTTGTTTATGGTTTTGTACTGATTGCATTTGTTGGGAGATGGATGCATCCTAAAACCTGTATTTTTTAACCTGTTTAAATATCAAAGTATATTAAATTCTTTGCTGGCAACGCACAAAAGACATTGAATAGATTCGATAAACACCAAGTCTTTCGTATTCTTTTGCTAGCAAGACCTTTCTTTCTCCCACCAGATATGAAGATAAAATTTTAAGACATGCCCAATTTATTTGTCCAGCTTCGCTCTCAGAACTTCTGAGACGGTTTAAGAGTTGAGCATCTGTTGTAATTCGCTGAACTTAATGATTTCGTTAGACTTCTGTGGACGTTGCAGTCTCGTTACAGGCGCGTGCGTAGCAAGCACCTGCGCGGCGAGGAATGGTTTGTGTGTGTGTTGTCGCTGCCGTACTAATAACTTTTATTGTTAATTAAATTCTCTGTGCGTGTGGAATACTGAGTCGATATGTGTAAGTAATTTGTCTTGAGAAATATGAAAGATTTTGCACCGCAAGCTGCACATATTACTAAAATTCTTTTACTCTGATATAACTGTACACTGTCTTGATTTTTAAGTTTTAAGCACTGCTTTAAAAATAAAAACGCCTTTTCTGAAGAGCTCGCCTGTTAACCAAATGTATCTTCTTTCATTAGTAATTTCAGTATCTAAAAGAAACCTTGTATCTTCCCACGTAATCCAAGTACCGGTATATTTCATCCATAGCCACTTGGGTCACTCGCTTCACTATTCACTTAAACAGGTTTAACTTCTCGTGGTCACTAGCACTCTCACTAACCACTGCTTTGCCGGTCCTTGCACTAACAGGCGTTCAGAGCATACACGGGGAGCTGCTTGCCAGAGGTAAGTGTGTTTATGGTTCAAATTACTTTAATTTTAGTTCAAATCTCTTATTCCAGTTTTCAGTGCTCTACATACGACTGGAAATAAATGTTCTATTAATGTAAACTTGTCAGAATTGCACTTTTATATCTTCATATCGGATACATGCTTGTTAATTTATGTAATGTTTTGTATTTATTTTAAACATTCAAGATCTGATGTCTCTCCTTTTCTCTTCCTATGTATATTTTCGATTCAGTTTATTTGCAAAGCTATTGTACATTCTTTTGTGTTCAATTCTATGTAATTCTTTGATGTTTCTGATTATTTAAAAATTGGTCCTTAAATTGAATCTTGATTCCTTTTCAAACGCTAGCCTCTACCCATTGCTGTCATGAACTTGGTTTTCTGCTTTGTTCTTGGTTCGCATTTTTTTTTTTTTTGTAGGTATTCTATAGTTGAGATTTTGTTTAATTTAGTAGTGAGATCGCGTGCGAAAGTTGTCTCATGTACGCTAGCAGCTGTTGAACCTGTGATGAGAGAGTAACTCCTTCTTTAGGTTTCATTTGGTTATGAAACTTGTTGATTTTAGACAGTTTTCAGGGGATCCAAATTTTCTCTCGGGTTGCCCAAAAAATTAAATTCCCTCGTGTTGAATATAATTATCAATATTTTTCTCTTGTGGGAGTATGTTGCTGTAGTCAGCGTGAATTTCTTATAAATCGAGCAATGAAATAATTTTCGTTATTTGCTGGAGTCAACGAGAATTCTATTAAATTTTTTCTAATTTTTTTTTCTTGATCAACAATTGCATATATAAGAATTTATTTTATTTGCAGATCAGTTGAACAGCCAAAGCGAAGAAATCGAATTCAGCAGGTTTGCTGCAGAACCCTCGGAGCTCTCGGCCCTCACTGCCCTCGCCGGAAAACCTGCCACCGACTAAAAGGGGACCTCGGTACTCTTTTGAGTGTCAGTTGGTCATTGTTACTCATCTGAGTCCAAGTTTTTTCTCACAACTCCAGCTTATACCTCGTCTCAGTACGCAACTTGTCAGCCGTTGTTCTCAGTACCAAATTCAAGGCCTCCTTTTCGCCCTAATTTTTCCTCTGTGAATGAAGACCAAAATTCAAAATTCGTCTTGCGTGTCTCTCACTTACTGGCCTTGAGTAGAGAGCCCAGTGGGTATTATTCATCGCACGCATGAAATACTTGACAGAACATCGTTGGAGGAAAATTAGTTAATTTCCGAATCCTACTCGAAAATTTTGCTGCTTTCTTTTTTACGTGTCCTTAGTACTTGAATACGGTTCACCAAATAAGACTTGTAAATTCGTAGGAAATGTTCTCAAGCATCGGAAATCGTATTGAGCCTTTCTTGTTTCAAAATTAAATTTCGCTGATGAAATCCATCAGCGTTTGTCCTGAATAGCTCTTTAACTAGCTTTAAGATACTATTAATGTCATTTCTGAAGCTATATTCTACGACATTTTTGGAGCTTCCTGCATAAATATATGCAAGATCACAATCGTAAAGTGATAGATTGAAGGGCCTTGAGATTTCTAAATGCATGATAAAGCTTTTCGCTGAATTTTCTAACGATTTGGAGGATATGGTAGTTACGTTGCCCATGTCTGACTGCTGGTCGTAAATGGCTTGAAAAAATTTGCGTAAGATCTGACCGAGAATCTCTCAAAACTTAAAGCTTTAATATACTTTATCTAATAAGATAATACTCTACAATACTTATATGTTTTATATAATAAGATAATACTCTGAAATAAGATTCGCGTCGATATATTGTTTTTAGTGACTATTCTGTGTCTTTCCATTTCTTGTGACATTTTATTTAAACATTCTCGTCGATTAACTCCTATTTCTGGTTTCAATCGACCTTTACATGTGATGTTTTCTTTTATTCCGATCAATTAGAATTTTACATTGAGCCGCAGTATTAGACAACATGTTGATCTTGTCTAAATGAATTATACCCCGATATTGATTTGAAGTTTAATCGAGGTTTTAAGACGTTGACTATTACTTCCATTTAATTTATGAGATTTCTCCGAAAATTCTCGTTTATCATTCTGTACTATTGTTTCCAATACCTATTATATCTTTCGAGGCTTGTGTTGTTATAAAAAATTTGAATATTTCTTTCATTTAGTGTGGCTAATTTGTGACGACTCGGGAGGTTAGGCAGCTTTTTATGTCTACCAAAATCGAGTGTCTCGAGACTTCGTGATCAGCTTGTGGAATTCTTGTTTCTTTCCATTGATGTTTTCTTTTATTCGTCTCTAACTAATCCTTGATGTTAATGTGATTTATTACATGTATTAAGTTCTCTTGGATAAGTTTTTTATAGCCATTCATTATCATTTCATTTTGTGCTACTGGCAATAAACTTAATTCAAAGTGTTGACATCAACGTACAATTTCATCCGTTCCATTTAAACCATAATTCTTTAGCATTTAAGCCTCATAAATTAAGGAATTAAGAACTTCAAAACCAAATTTGATTCGAATAGTGCCCTCATTTGATTAGTTGATGGCGAATTATCAAACCCCTCGTATAGATTAGTGTTTTAGAGGACCTGAAATCCATGTACAGAACATGCGACAAATTAAATAATAGTCAATTTTGTTCGTGTTATATCTTTTATCAGTATTATTTTACGATGCTTCTCTTATTATTTCTAATTCATCCTCTATTATAGGCTAATATTAAAAGCTTGTTCCCTTCACGTACTATGTATGAATAGTTCAATACTTTCGCAAGTTGATTTCTGGAAATACTATATTATATAGCACGGCGCAAAGTGTCTAGATTCCGATATGGCAATGCTACATGTTGTTTATTCCATGACAATCTAATCGGTCATTCCTGTTGTTCACATTTATTACGTTGGCACTAAACCTAATTTACCGTTAAGTGTCACAGGTTTTGCAGCTGATAGAATTAATCAATAATAGTAATTAAGATTCGCTGTATCGTCATATTATCGATTAGAGTTTGTACTGAAACATCAGCGTTAAAACTTCCTAATCTTACTTGAAAAATTTAACTGAAATCTCATTTTTACGAATGTGCTACTCCGCTTGCAGTCGTCAGCCTCACTCGTCAGTGACTGCGCTAGCGACCCAACTGACGCGCGTGCGTAGTTTAGTCTATTTAGTGCTAACTATTCCTGTCGTGATCGTGTTCTTATAGGACGTTCTCTTGTAGGTTTTTCTCGGCTTTATTGACTTTGTCCAATCACTCAATAGTTAGTTCGTAGACGTCAAACAATAGAATAAAGCTCAGATTAAGCATAGGTGCTTAACTCAAAACTGCTTAACTTTAAGCTGGCTAGACTCCAAACGTTTGAATATTTTGACCTTTGGTTTATCATCCAATTCCTTTGGTTTAATTGAAAATTCAAGTACTTATTGTTTAAAATTTGAATTTACCAATCTATTGAGATTAAATTAAGTTTGTAACAATTTTGCGTTCATTTCGAAAATAAACTAATTATGCTTTTTTAGTTGTAATAATGGCTAGGATTTTTTAAAACCTACTGAGGTATTTTACTGAATTTTATCGATAGCGTTTATATCTCATCAATTCTGAATCTTGAAGTTGAATGTAGCTTTTTAATTTCTGTGCCAATTTAGTTCGTATTTCTGTGTATCGTAGTTGATATTCATTAATCACAAGTAATTATCGATTTACGTTCGGTGTCAGTATATATGTTGCGCAGCTAACGTGTGGTTTTATCCTTCCATTTTACTTGGGTTTCTCTGCTCCCATAAATTGATAACGATTTTACAATATTTTATATAAAATCTTGGCTATAAATAAGGGCCCTAAACTCAGTTTTGTTCACCAATCGATCATTGGGCTTCAGTACTCAGCATTTGAGGATATACCTTTATATATTTGTGGAATGATGATTACGAGTCCGGAAACATTTGAGGAAAACGCTGTACAGGGTCCGCCATATTAATGGCAACGCATGTTTTTTGTTAACAAGGAATTTAAAGCAAAGAAAACACCAAGCAAATTCACCATATCGATATTGAGAACGTTTCGGAGTCCAGCTCCATCATCAGTTCGAAAAACTAAAAATGAATAAAATCATATTATTATATCAAAATTCTAAGACAGACATAAAACCTAAACAAGACCAAACATTATACCGGGGGAAAAAACAGGACTCGATTGAAACAACTTAGTCCTAGTGTACACAAAAGGAACATAAAAGCCTAGCGATTCACTATTTCCAGATTATATGAACTGAACGCATTATTGAGACACGGTTTTCGTTTGAAGATATGTAGAGACAATATTCTCAAATCCGAGCAGCCAGAAGTGGAACCGAGTATCCTGAAATCACTCAGTTACAGCCACGACGCACTGTTCAGCATGGAGGCGCACGGAAGAATGAGGAGGCTTGGAGAGAGGCAAGTTAGAACGATAGCTCCTGCCACGGTGTTCAGAAACCCGGATGTATAAGTTACGCGACGTCATTCCAACGTACGTAGATGCACAGCGTGCACAACAGAACTCATAGACCAGGTTTGATCGCATCCGAGCAGGAATAACGTCCTTATACCTGAAGAAAGAACCAATATTGAAATTATTTACCAGTAAAACGTGCAAATTTATATTCGGGAAATATTTCATGAACAATATCTTTAGTTCTCTAGAGATAGTTTCAGACGCATTATCAAAATAGGGCAATGTGCAATAAATAGTTTTCTTACTATCACATCCAATCAAAGTTTCAGAAAATTTGTTAGATAAGAAGCATTTGATTTTACTAAACACAAGGCACGATGGAAAAATGGAAAACCATTAAGCTGAAATATACTACGAATGAATTCGAATTCCAAATGCATACCTATTATGGAAGGTAGAACAGACCCTATAGCCGCGGTATATCAAAGTTTGAAGACTATTCAATTTTAAACGTAACGAGCAGAAGCTAAAGAAGCTCATACCCAAGCCAGTAAATGTCGGTTTTTGATAAACGGAAGTCTGAAAACGACCGCCACACTTAGTTAGATTCTAATTCCATAGTGAATTTTATTGAAGGATGTTTGAGGCTTAGATAATCAAAGAAAAGGCCCGCATGAGAGGGATGCTTGAAGACCAGAAAGGTATCATCTATATACATGTACCTATTATAAAAAATCGGTTTAAAATCAATGGGACAATTGGCCAACCAAGAAACCTCATGAAAGCACATGAAAATGTTAGCGAGTGTGAGACCAAGGGGAAGGCCCATTCCTAAACCATCAATTTGTTTATAAAGTTCACCAGCGCAAATGAAAAAAGAGTTCATGACTGATAATTCCAGAAACTTTTTGAAAAGACTGCGGTTAAGACCGATGACCAGATCATTGGCATCCTTAAACAAAGAGTTGAGGCAGATTTCAATAGTTTCTGTAAGAGGAATATTGGGAGCGCAGCCGTGGGTAACAAAATTGACTCGTAAACAGGCCCTGGGCCCAACGCCAACCATCAGCATGCAATATCTACACATAGCCTCAGATCAATGAGCTGTGGGTAACTCCGGCTAACGGTAAATCCGCTTTGCACAACACCGCCACTGCTTCACAGCGCCCGAGAACAACTGGCCGGAGCGCTACAGGCCCTACCGCAACAGCTACTCCTAACGTAACCTAACCTAACCTGCGCCGCCTGTTGCGGTAATGCCTATCATTACCAATAAATTCTGGGCGGTTAGAAGTGGCCACATTTTTAAGGTTCATACCGAGACGTTCAAATACTAGAAAAATTTTGAAAACAGGGAGACAAAAATCAAGACTTAGTCGAGGTTCAATATTGTACGAGCTAAAGTTGAAGACCACTTTATCAGGGTCACAGGGCTGAATCTCGTTGTGTATACCTCACCTGAATCTCGTGTTTTTTTGTTATTTCTCAATGAAACAAACAGGTGCATTGTTTTTTTTTATTGGATGAGCTAGTAGCCAAGAATTACCTAAACAATTCTCAGACATATTCATTCAATATGAACACCCTTATTTTTAATGACGGCCTCCAATCTTCGTATGAAAGCTTTTCATGAGAGGCGCAACATTTCTTGAGCGATCAAGTTCCATTCTCGTGTCAATTTAGACTTCAAACTATCCAAAGAATCATGAGGTGTTCTGCAGACCCTACTCTAAAATAGCCAACACAGAAAAGTCGAGAGGATTCAAATCAGGGCTTCTTGAGGGCCATTCATTATTATTACAACATTTCTCTTTAACTTCACTTCTTGTTTGTTTGTTTGTCTGTCTGTCTGCTACAAATCTTAGGGTACGTACACAGTGTAAGCCGGTTGCCAGCGTGCTGGTTACCTGCTGAGGCTGGCGCCTGAAACAAGCGCGAGAGGGTGTTCACAGTGGAAGCAGGAAACATGCTTGTGCATGCCCTATAACGATTGATAAAATCTCTCAATAATACGAATCATACAGTCAAAACTCATTATAAATGAATAAATAGCATGATAAATTCATCATATAACCCGTCAAACTCTCTGAACCGCTGAAAAGCTGTTAAAAAAATTTTAAGAAGAAATTTGATCATGAGAAAAGCTGAGAATTTATCGAAGTCTTCACTGTCTGTTGAACCTGCACCATAAATATGTCCACATCACCTGCACCATAAACATGTCATCACCTGCACCATAAACATGCCATCACCTGCACCATAAACATGCCCACATCACCTGCACCATAAACATGTCATCACTTGCACCATAAACATTAGGTTGCCCGCGCGGGCAAACCTGCTTCCACTGTGTACGTACCCTAAGGGTACGGCCAGACTAAAAGCGTTGGCGCGTACGTAGGCGTACGCGCGCTCACGCTGCGATATTATATGTATGTATTTCTACCAGAGTGGCCACACTAAACGCGTACAGGCAGAAGCTGCCTCAAGCGTACACACGCGTTGCTGCGCGGTGGAAAATCGACATTACTCGAGACAAATATTTCGACGCGGACACGCGCGTGCAGTTTCCTTGAAGCAGCCGTGAGAGAAGGATGTCGACGCATTGCTCTCGTCAGTCGAGGCAGTACCTGCAATCAGGGATGCCTCTCACCCACAGCACAGTGATGGGACAAACATCAGCATCCACTGGTCTATGATAGCTGATGCACTCAATATTTCAGCTAAGAAAATTAATAATAGATTCTTTTATTAAACAAAGAGAATAGAAGTGAACGAACTTAGCACTCAGAGCACTAGGATATTCCTCTTGTTTATTTAGAGCATATGATACTGCCAAGCAACTTTTCCTGCATCTGATACGAAATAATTTGTGAATTTTTCCCGAAAATCTGTTGCAATTCTACAGTTGTTTCTATGAACAGGAGCAATTATAGTTTCCGGTTGATCATTCGATGCATTCAATTCCATTGATATGCCGTGTCTTTATCAAATTTCTGTCTAACAAGTAACAAGAATCATGTTGCGCAAAAACGTATTTGCTTTAGTTATTTCTGCAGCATTATCCATGCTGGTCTCGATGGATTTCGTTAAAAATCTGAATTTTGAAGTCATAATGCCAAAGGTGCATTCTACACAACGCCGAGCTCTTGATAGTCTGTAGTTATATATTTTCTTGCTAGGCGGGGGCATGGTCGCATTAAGTTAGGAAGCAATGGGTAAGCTGCATCACCTTGCAACACAAGTGGCGTTTCATCATGACTCATATATAACCTCATGCATCATATAAGGTATACATCATATATAACCTCATCTGAACGGATTCAAAAATAGACAAAATAAAGACTATATGGGGTTTTTAAATTTATCTTTTATTTCTCTATAAAACTTTCATAACTGAGAACGGCTGTTAGTCTCTCGCAGACACTCATTTCTACACACTGACTCGCAGTAAGCTGAGCGGTTCAGCGTCTAGTTTGGACACCATACGCGCGGCGCGGCGCCGCTCTGCTTGAAGCGTCAGCCAGCGTACGCGTGAACGCTTTTAAGTCTGGCCGTAGCCTAAGTTAGGGTACGCGCACAGTGGAAGCAGGTTTGCCCGCGCGGGCAACCTGCTCCAACCTGCCACAAGAATGAACATAGGATAATAATGTAAGTGTTCACAGTGAAAACCTGTACGAATAGGCTTCTGTATTCTATGGTTTCAGGCGCCAGCCTGAGCAGGTAACCAGCACGCTGGCAACCTGCTTTCACTGTGCGCGTACCCTTATAATCGATATTTAACACACTTCTACCTGTCCAATTGATCTGAAATTTGGCACACTTGCGTAAAGTTGGAGACAATGCATGAATCAATTGACGCAATAAATAATTTTATAAATTAATTTTTTTCATTATAAAAAAAATAATTTCGTCTGCTACAAATCTTATAATCCATATATGACACAATTTGACCTGTCCAATTGATCTGAAAATTTGCACAATTATTGCATAAAGTCATAGACAATGCATGAAT